GCAAAGCTCACCACCATCAGTCAGAACAAGGCCTGGAGACATCTGTGGAACAGACCAGCGATGGATCATCTGCAAGGTCAAGTGATAGCTGTAGAATGTTAAAACAAATTTGCAAGAGCAAAAACCCAACCTTGAGTTTATCCCATCCAAATTTAGAGACCATCTCGAGTAAAGTTGATACATAGGGCATTACCGACTGACTATAGACCAGATGAGTTGTGGGATGACATCAAGGACATTTTATATGATGAATACAGAAGGTCATTAAAAATACAAGAAAGAAAGAAAAGCCCCCAAAATACGTTAGCAGAGATTCTATCATTTTCTCTTGGAAGTTTAGTCGCTAAATTGAAAGAAACAAATGATGAAGAAAGATAGATGAACAGAAAATTGCAAAATGTGGCTAGAGAAGGCAAAGTAAGGTATTATAATGAAATGTGAAAAGACCTGAAGTTAGAAAAGGGATTTCTCAGCTGAAATCATTGAAAAAGAGGAAAAATAGAAAGGCAAGCCTCAAGTTGTAATATTAAAGGGTTCTTTGAGCAAAATATTGAATAGCACAGAATATTAGGCTTGGTATCCTAAAAGAAGCAAAGTCAGTGGCACATAATGGAGAGAGAGAATAACATTTATATTTAACAAGTAGCTCACACAATTGAAGGTGCAGGTCGGTCCAGTCAGGTTCAAGTCTATGTGTTTGATATTTAGCTGGAGACTTCCTGACTGATGTAGCTACTGGGGCTGATGAACCAGGAAGCAGGAGGACAATCAAGAAGACCAGGAGTTATGGCTACAAAAGCATATGAATCTAAGGTCAGCAAGTCAGCTGTTCGGCTCTGTTGAATTCCAGAGTTGGCTCAAGTCCATAAAACCAGTGATTAAGAGCCAGATGCAAGAGGCAGACAAGAAAGAAGCTAAGGCGCTTTCCATGGCACCTACTTATATAGGAGTAGACCACACCCCTGAAGCAACTCCCCTTCATTTGCACTCCACCCCACCATGCTCACAACTGCTCCGGTGTTGATTGCAACGTGTTAGGTCACATCATGGAGGATGACCAAACTCTCACTTCCAAACCATAAAATCCTGGACCAGCCACGTTGGCAGAGACTGAGCATCACATACAGGAACTATGGGGGTAACCTGAGAGGAATACAGACAGAGGACACAGTAACTGTACCCCCAAATTCAGTTGGTGTTCAGCTATGTCAAGACGGACAATTTTATCAATAACCAATATTAAAGAATGAATCCAAGTTATACAGAAGGCATTGATAAAAATTAAGGGTCAAGAAACTGACAGAATTCCAATTGAGAAGTTACAATAAACAGATGCAATACTTGAAGAGCTAGCTCATATGTCCAAAACTTTGGAGAGAAACTAACTACCTGACCAACAAATTAGAAGAGATTAATACTCATGCTCATAGATTACCTAACCATACCATTAATATCTACACAAGTAAACATAATTAAAGTGAGAAAGAGTTGCAGCAGTGCATTGATAAAGAACTGCCAGAAATTCAAACCAAGTTCAAAAGAGGACATGGCGGTAGGGGTCCCATTGATGCGGTCAGGTGGACCTTGGCTGAAAACAGAGACTACCAGAATGATGGGTATTTTTATTGAATTGACTCTGCAGAGGCATATAGCTGTGTGGGTCATGCAACTTGTGGGGATTCCAGAACACTTAATTGTGCTCATAGAGAAACTGGCATTCACTTGAAAGAAACAGGGGAATTAAAGTTAGGAAAGGTACGGATCCGGGTTATAGCCTTTCACAATACGTATTCAAGCTGCATGCAGAGTAAACAATCTGTGAGACTGGATTACATGAAGAACAATGGGGACACTTAACTATTTAGGGTATGTAGATGCCACAACCATGCTCACAGAATGCAAAAAAGCTTATGACAGAATTATTAATCAGGATCAAGACCCGGGTACGAATTACACCTCAACATAAGAAAAAGAAAATTCCTTACTACTGGATCAATAGGCAACATGATAAACAAAGAGAATATTGAAATTGTCAAAGATTTTGTCATTTTATATAGATTCACAAACAAAGCCCCCAAAAGCAGCAGTCAAGAAGTCAAGGGATGTATTACACTGGAAAAATTTGCTGTGAAAAAATGATATTTTCAATAATCTCATATATACTCAAAAATTGGACAGTTAACAAAGAAGACTGAGGTGTAACGGATGCTTCTGAATTATGGCATTGTCCAAAAAATATAATACTCTGGAATACCAGAAGAATAAGAAAATCTCATATGGATGAAGAGCAGCCAGATGCTCGCCGGAAGTAAAGATGGCAAGACTTCATCCCACATACGTCGCACAGGTGATCAAGAGGGACCTGTCCTTGAAGAAGAACACCATATGTGGTAGCAAAATAGGTGCTTCTCAGGAAATGGGTTGACAGCTTGGCTGCAGCACTGGGGCGAGGATCGAACGGGACCAGGTAGTGTTTTGTGCTGTTGCACCAAGAGTCCTTGTGAACTGGAGTTGACTTGGTGGGACCTAGAACAGCAGCAGCAGCAGAAGCCAGTATGAATGTGTACTCAGAGTTTTCTGCCAACAAAGTTCTCTCCACTATTCCACACTATCTTTACGTAATTTAATATATAAATAAAAATAATGTTAAAACATAGTTGATAGGTAAGGTAGTGATGATTATTCATTTATCAGCATTTCTTTCCTCCTTTAAATATTTTTTAAAAATTTTATCACCACTAGAATTACCATGAGCCTAATTTTATACTATTTATGCCAATGTACCAGAATTAAAGCATTACATGCAAGACAGTCATTTGGAAAATAGTTGGCTAAAAATAAATCAAAGAACAATAGATTACTCAGATTAGTATAAAACCAGTAATTTAGACCACTTGGCACATTTTTTCAAAAAGAGCCCTTTAAACTTTGTTAATTGCAAAATAACCAGATAGCCCACCTGCTATCAACACAGTCTCTTCGTGTTGCTCTGAATTCCAAGGAAGAAGAAAGAAAAAATGTAGCTGGCCCTATGTTTGTAGGGTGAAGTTTTAGTAGGAATGCTTGCCTTTTCAGTTTGACCATGAATGTAGAACCCCACTAGAATCCACCCGCGAAGTCAAAGTATCTCAACTGTAGCAAGTCACCTGGTTCGGTGATGTGCATAGAGTCCGAAAATAGAAGATGTTGTGCGTGCAGACATAAGACATAGGTGGCACATGGTTAAACGAGGGTACAAATGGTTGAAAGGTTGGTGGTTCAAATCTGCCTGACTCCCTGGAAAGAACCTGCATTCTACACCCAAAGATGACAATCTTGGGACTGCTGAGGAGCACAGCTCGACTCCATTGACAAGGGGCTGCTGTGAATCAAAATTGTGCCAATGGCAACTAGCAGCATAGATATAAACATACACATTGTCTGTCTGTCTGTCTGTCTGTCTGTCTGTCTATCTATCTAGCTATCTCTCTGTCTATTATCTATCTATCTGTCATCTATCTATCTATCATCTAACTATCTACCTATATCTATCTTCTAACTGAAACTCCTGCCTACTTGCCACATTTGAAGCACAATTTTTATTGCCCCCGAGGCAGATATGTTTTAAGCATTATCACAGATTTTTTTGAAACCGTGGGAGGAACAGTGAGGTAATATACAGAACCTGGCTTTTTAAGTATTAAAATCCTATGGAAAGGTTTTGTTTTTTTTTTTTTAAAAGTTATCTCCTTAGATGACCAAAACAATTTAAACTTCACTGCTCACTGAAAGGTGAGTGTTTGCCCCCACCCATTAACACCATCAAAGGGAGGCCTGCTGACCTGCTCCCATAAGGAGTGCCACCAAGTGGACCCTGCAGGGACGGGACTGTTCTCCCACGTTGCACATGAAGTCACCAGGGATTGGAATCAAGTCAATGGCAACACTTGGGTTGGGTTGGGTTTTGGTATAGTCATACTGATATAAAAAACCCTTTTATTATCAAAATTTAGAAAATGAGTCCTCTATGATTTATGATGCCTTAAACATTTCAAAAAAAATTCCAGTGTAAAACACTGTGGTCTTTAAATGGGAAATAGAAATGCATGATTTGTACAGCCCTTAAGAGTGAATCATTGAAGAGAGGAAGGAATAGATTGACCAGTGTTGGATACAACTGGAAATGGAGTTTAGCCTTCTACTTACTGGGTATAGAACTGACTTGATTGCTTTCTAATCTGTATGATGGATGTCATAAAACCTAGCATAGCATGCTATTGTGAGAAACAAACAATAATATTAACAATCAAATATGAGATAACATAGTTAACTGTAAATGTTAATTACCATTTCCCATTATTTTAGAAAACTACCCCCTATACTGAATCTTGCAAAGGATCTGAGAAATAGCCACTCCTGTCACTAACTTTCCTGTGAAAAGATTGAGTAATATTTTCATTAAAAGACTTTCGTAAGTGTATATAGTTTTATGTGGCAAACCTCATATCTCAGTTTAGGAGCTGGATTTTTCAGTAGGGATCAACCATAATTTCTAAGTAATAATGTGTAAGAGAATGTAGCAGTAATCTGTATAATATTATATGAGTATGTTTGCAAAATCTATATTAAATAAAACATCTATTCATAATTGTACTAACCTGAAAATCTTTGTGAAGTAAGATAATGAGACAATGAAAAGCAAAAGATCATGAATGAGGTAAAAGGCATAGTGCTTGTTGGGATAATTAAGAGGGGACGTAGATTACGTGCAATTTTTTATATCATTCTCCTCTCCCATCCAGTGAATGTAAAAAGTTTCAATGGGAATATGTATTCTGTAGCTTCATTGTAAATCATCCGAAACAAAAGTCAATGAAAATTCAAACCTCAAAGCCAGGTCTTCTGCTTCTAAACTCAACACCAAGCCACCTGTGATCCCCAAACTTTTGTGATCTAATTGCACCCAATGAGTTCGGTACTGTCATTTCACCGGCCCCCTCTCCTTATCTGTTTTCACGCAGGCAACTATGGAGAAAGTGGCATGGAGGCTTTCAAAGACATGTCAGCCAAGGAAGGGATCTGCATCGCCCACTCTTACAAAATCTACAGCAATGCAGGGGAGCAGAGCTTCGACAAGCTGCTGAAGAAGCTCAGGAGCCACTTGCCCAAGGCCCGTGTAGTGGCCTGCTTCTGTGAAGGGATGACTGTGAGAGGTCTGCTAATGGCCATGCGGCGCCTGGGCCTCGCTGGAGAATTTCTGCTCCTGGGCAGGTAAGTGCCAAAGAGATTGACTTGTCCATGGCCAGAATCCATAGACCGGTGTTTTGGCATTAGAGATGGGTGTCTTTTGGTGTATAAACCCAGATATTTTAGAATCTTAATCTATATAGTGGAATCAACCCTAAAGATTATAAAGTACCAGTTTCTAGAGGGGAAAAAAAAGTCATGAAAAATTAAATGTTGTGTGCTGTATACTGATTAATGATAGTAGGAATCAACACATGGAGATGATTTGTTTCCTTACCTCCTTGAAAATGACTGAAAGAAAATGCGAGGATTCTTAAAATCTTGAGCGTTAACCTTGGGAAGTAAACACATTTCAAAATTGCTGTAGTTGCTGCACAAATAGATTTTTGGGGGAGAAATGGCTATATAAATATTTTTATAGAATTTCGGGGCTTGGGAATATAGAATTGCTTTCTGGGCCAATTTTTAAAGCATCAGTGGAAAATTACCTCATTATTTTGTATAACAATATTGCTTTGCCTGGACCCACGTTGTTTTGACATCAGTTTCTGAAAGGTTAGTTTCTCTAGGGATTAACTTTAATTATCTGGATAATTCACTTGAATGCAACAATTCAGTTTATTTTCCCGATGCTGCTGAATTAGTAGGGTGGATCCTAAGCTTTTAAATGTGTGAACGCATTTCATTACTGAAGTAGAAACAGTGTGATTTATCACAAGTTGGTGAGCTGCTTCCATTTCATGCCTTTTTAAAAATTTTTCCTGTGTTGTATTTTTTCTCAGCAGACAGGCAATTTAAAGAATGGAGAAAAGCTTAGAAACATTGTCTCATTCTTAGTATTTCTGTCTAATGTAAAAGTCAAGCCCCTTATTACCAACTTTGGATGGCTCATTAAAGAAAACCTCCTTTCTTTGTTTTCTAAATGCTTAACTGACCTTTTTTTATCAGACCACACTTCTTCTTGGCTTCTTGTATGACAGCCACTTTATGTACTTAATTCTCTTCTGACCTGATAACAATAGATGGATGGGGATATTTTGGTATAAGGCCACCCATCTTTCATAAAAGTGATATTGAGTGAGATTCCTCCTTTATTGACACCATGAAATTGTCTCTATATGGCAGGAGTGGTGTATCCGATAATTTTATAAAACCAAGCAACATGAACAATAGGGTATCCTGAACAGGAAAGAAAGAAAGTGGGCATATCATCCAGGTCTTCAGCTGGTCTTTGTCCTTTTCTTGGATAGGAAATAAGGAATTCTGCAGTTCTGACCTGCTATGTTGCAACATTTTAAGACAAATCAGCAATATTTGTTTTTCAATCACATTATTAGCTAACAAATAAACGTTCTTTAACCACATACCCACAAGGAAAACTAATCTGTTTTCAGTATATATACAACATATTCCAATTATGTTTTTATTGCCAGCAGCACCAACAACAAGCCTTTATATTTATTTTGTAGTTCTGTATAGTGTTTCCAAATACTTTAATTCATGTATAAATAGTCATAATTTTAATTATATTCTTGAATACTTCCCATGAATGTCAAAGTCACCATTCAGTATTTACCTGAGCACTAGTTCATTTCACTTTTGAATAATTTTGTTAGAAGTCTTTCTGACTCAACCCCACCCCCCCCCAAAGTTACCGGTAGTTTCCATCTTTTGCCTCATTGATTTTTGAAATTAATATATGGCACTCTTTCAAATATTTGGAAACAACAATATGATCCCCAGTTCTCTTAGTCTTCTCTTTGAAGGATCTTATTTCTTCCAGCCGTCCTAGTGAGAGGGCATTGTGAGGATCGTAACATCAAGACCATTCTTCCACAGCTGTGTGCCATGTGCTCTGTCAGACACTTTACATACATTGTTTTATGTCGTCATTCATGTGACAGACATTGAATTCCTACTGTGTCGTAAAGGTGCGTGGGGTGCATCAGTGAACAGAGCAGACTGTAACTGTTGCCTTTTTAGAGGTTGGATGTAATAAGTTTTATAGACTACGGTAAGTGCGATGGGAGGAACAATATAAAACAATCTGCCTGTTAAGTACTCATCTTAAGACAAGGACTCAATATTGAGTAAGGGTGAAATTGACAAGATGATATATCTGAAAAGACGGGTTAAAAACAAGTACAAGTAATTTCAGAGACTAATCATACAGCACTCTGCTCTTCAGTAAATTGGAAGTGCGGTTGTTCATAAATTGTAGTCTAGAAGAATGGGCAGAAAAGCAGATTAATTATTATAATTGAGAATCTAGAACATCTACTCATTCTCATTTTACAAATGAGGAAACTAAGACCTTGCATGTTCACTTGACGTACTCATAGTCGTCGCCAAAGACCCGGATCCATGACTCATGGCCCCGCGTTTCACTGTAGGCATCTGACTCCTGGGCACAATTAAACGGGGGGGATTCCAATCCAATCAGAAATCCTTGGCTCTATCAGGCTATTATCTAATGAACCTATTCCAAATAAGTTTGATTTAGGTTGGTATTTTTATATCAACATTTCATCCTAATAATTTCTACTCAGTTCATGCTATAACTCACCTCAATATTTTATGATTTTTTTTTATCTTCCAAATTTCTCTTTTTTCCTTTCTCTTCCTGCCATCCCAAACATGGATAGAGGGATGAACCTTAAGGACTAGATATCAAAGCTATGAGGAAAAAAAGAAAAACAACAACCAAAACTATTTCCAGTAGACCTCTAGACAGTTCCACCTTGAGACATTGTGGTTACTTATCAATCTTCCCAGATGCCTTAGGCCAATCACATTTAATGGGTCATTAAACTCAAAGGTTTAGAAGAACTATGACAACTCTGATGGCAACAGCCCCGTCCATCAGTATCTCTCACCATTTGTATTGCAAATCCATTGAATGTGAAAGTAATGTGGGCCTGGTCACTGAGAAGTCCCATTTGATTTCTTGGTGATCTATTTACTTATTAGCTGCATCCCCAATATTTTGTTCAGGTCTCTGAAATAGTCTTTGAGAACACAACAAAATCAATAATTTAAGCAGCAATAGTATTTCTAAGGGGACTTATTTTCACTAATGTCTTAGTTCTGTATTTGGGAAAGTAATACTTGAGATATTATGTAAGATTTATACACCTATAAGCCTGAAGATGAACTTGGACTAATATTCAGAAACAAGGACCATATTTTAACAAATTAACTATTTAAGGATCTTTTAAAATCTTGTCTGTAAATAATGGGAACCATTTATATGTTATAATTTAGGGTCACTGACCTTCAATGTTACAGTTGTTAATAAGTCACAAGACAAAATATACTTTCAAGAGTATTTGAAAACTATAACAAACATTTCTTAGTTAAAAAGTAATTAAAACAGCATATTAGTTTTCAAAATAAAACAGTTAAGAGCTCATTGTAAGAAATATCTTTGTCAGATCTTGAACAATTGATTTAGTATAAATGTGATAATACCTATTCCTCAAGAACAAGTAGTAGTCTTTATCATTGAATACCATCTTGCATCGACACTTTCAAACAAGTTTATTTTCCACTGGGTCAACCAATGTTAAATATAGTGTAGAAAGATAAAAAAAAACACCTTATTTTCAGTGAATTCCTGTTAAGAGGGAAAGAAGAAGACAAGAGGACAGAGTTATTTAGTGATCTAAACACTATTTGATATGTCAAGTATGTGTTTCCTTTGAGTTTGATGTTGAATCCATATTTTATAGAGAAAAAATAATGACAAAAAGATTAAATGACTGGACAAGATCGTAACCTTAAAAACAAACCAACTGCCAAAGTGTGCATTCTAATTCACAGAAACCTTTCCTAGGGCTGCCAAGGCTGTACATTTTAACAAGAGTGTTTAACCTATCTTCTCCTGCAGCGCTCCTGACAGGCTAGAGACTCAGGTCTTGTGGTTAGTGGTTCAGTACTTGGACAAAACCTTACCAGGCTTAGTCTAGTGGTAATTCTAAGAATCATAAAGAAAAAAAAAAAGAATCATAAAGATAAACAGATTTTAGCTACCTAAATATGGCTCTATACTTGTGATAAGCTCAGTTTAGTCTGCCTTTTAGTTTTAGGAGATTGCGTTATTTTAATGAAGAAATTTGGATGCAAATAAAGTCAGAAACCTATACCTCTTGTTGTTTCAAAGCTTGTTTGCCTGTGTCTCTTCATTTTAATTTAGAACACCAACTAGTTGGGCATTGTTCATTTCATTAAAAAAACAGTTGTTGAGCTCAGTCTTCTACAACTCTTATGTAAATTTATGAACTGCATGGTTCACGCATGAATAAGAAGGTGAGCATGGGAGAAGAATGTTTGCAGAGGAGCTTAGAAATACTAGGTTGTGTTTACAGTATTTTGAGATTTGTTTTGTTATTGTTAAAGCCCATTTGGGAGATGAGAAATTGATAGATAACATTTTCAAAAAGATAAACCTTGAAAATGAAGAGCGGATGAAGAAAGAGGGACAGTAAATACGGGGAGACCTATAATCGATTGATTATAGATTAGGGTGTGTGGGTGATGAGGAGATGAACAACTAAGAGCTCTGTAGTCAACACTAAGCAGAGCGACTCCTGGTGATTGCGCATCATGGAAAATGGAAAGGATCATTCTGAGTTTGGGGTTGTTTTTTTTCTGGGAAAACAAGATGAATACCAGTAACTTTCACTGACAATGGTTATCATTGTAAAAGTATTTAGTATGAGGCAGAGAATTGAGAATGGGTCTATTTGGGGGTAAATTGACTTAATGTGCATTTCAAACATAAGTATTTAAGGAAGTAAACATTTGAGAGTTGAGCTCAAAAAAGATATACTTTGTAAATAAAAATGGATTATAGCTGGATTATATCTGGAATCTAAGTGTAGAATTAACTGAAACTGGGTTGTGTAGCATTATAAGAATTTAGCTTTCAGGAACCATAATATTTATTGGTGGAGGGGAGAGATGGAATTGTGAGACACAACAATATTTGGACTTATACTTTGAAAATTTATTTTTCAGTATGA